TAAATGTAGATGTGTCACTAAAAGAGGAAAGTAGTTTATCTTTCATTTCAGGAACACAGACCCATCAAGAGGGAAGAGCCTGAGTAGAGCATGGGATCCTAATCAGAAAAGCAGTGATAGCAGAGAAAGTGGCAGAGGCAAAGGCATAGAGAGAACAGCCGAAAATTCTACACCCATGAAATAAGAAACGCTGTGTGCCTTTGGGCAGGTGGCTGGCTTGCAAAATGTGCCCTATGGGCATTTAAATAAATACATATATTTTGTATGGTATGTGTATATCTAAAAAAAAAGGGAGGGGGAATAGAGGTAAATACTGTTAGCTGTGGTACATGATGAAGGGGATTGTAATCAGTGCAATGAAACAAAATATGATTTGATGAATGTAAAACTGATGATCTGCCTTGTAAATTTTCACTCAAGTCACAATAAAAGCTTTTAAGAAGAAAAAAGAAAGGAAAACCCAATGGAGCATAATTCTACTCTGACATACACAGGTGACCATTAAGTTGGCATTGATTCTATGACAAATGGTTTCTATTTTGACAAAATAATCAAACTATCAATATACTTAAGAAACCTATAAAACTACTAGCTAATTACTGTACATTAACCATAAGGATAGAAGGATAGCATTCATCATAATGATCTAAAATTATTTTATTAAAAATTATGGGTATATATTAGAACCACTTGGGCAGATTGTAAAAATATCAATGCTTGGACTCTACCCCCAGATTCTACTTTTACTGGTCTGATGTAAGTACCAAATCACAGGATTTGTAGAAAGCCTAGAAATATTAACTCAGCATATCTTTTAGCAAGAATAAAAGAAATACAAAAATCATTATCATTAAAATTTAGCACTGCACAGAATATAGTAAATTAACACAATATCACAATGCAAATAAGACACAATTATTATCCCTTTAATAATTTTTTCCTAACCTCAATACGAATAGAGCAGTATCTCTTTAGCATATATAGGTTTGGAAGAGGATATTTCTGCATATATATTTGTATGTGCTGCAAATATATTCAATTATATAGCAGAGCATACAGGTGGCAAAGCTATGCACATTTATCAGCCATAACCAAATACCTTGATGAAATGAGTCACTGGGCTTTAGGTTTCAGGACCATAATCTTGGGGAACATCTAGGTCACTAACTGGTTTAACATAGTTCATGAAGGTAATGTTCTACATCCTATATTGTAGGATGTATTAGTGAGTAGCAGTTGGGGTCTTAAAAGCTTGCAAGTGGCATCTAAGATACAATCATTGCTCTTTTCGGGTCCAGAGTAAAGACGAGTGAAGAAAATCAAAGACTCGGGAAACATTTAGTCCAAAGGGCTAATTTACCACATGAACTACAACTTCTACTAGGCTGAGACAAGAAAAACTAGATGTTGCCTGGCTACCACTACCAACTGCTCTGATTGGGATCAAACTAGAAGATTCAAGACAGAATGAGAGAAAAATGTAAAACATGCAAAGTTATATATAAAAAAAAAAAGACCAGACTTACTGGTCTGATAAAAAGTAATTGGAACTGAACCCACTCCTAAAGATCACTTTTCAGCCAAATAATATACAGACCTATAACGTGAATAATACCTCTGAGAAACGTGCTCCTGAAAACCATCAACTATATCAGACAAAAAGGGCAGTATTTACACAAAAACAAGTTCAGAAGGTAGGAAAAATGGACAAGTGAAAACAGGAAATCAAGGGAGTACATGAGGAGAGTACTTAATGGCAACAGTTACCAGTAAGTTAGGGAAACTGAGACAAGAAAAAATAACTTGCTCAAGATTCTAATATATATATATATATATAATCTCCTTAAACCACCATCTAATACCTTCAACTCTCCAATGATTCAAAAGAGAAAAATTTACATTTAGGAAGATTAAAACTACATGGACTCCTAGTCTGTTTACATGAGAGAGAACATGTGCAGAAATGTCCCATATTAAAGCAGCACATGCTCCTCATGAACAGCCTACAATGGTTTTGTATAATAGACTCCAAAGAATTTCAAGTCTGTGGGCAATGAGATAAAAAAATTCTTAGCTGTAAGTATTTGTCGTTGTGAGCATTCTTTCACAGAATTCAGTTTTTCTCTAGTGAAAATTGAAAGCGAAAATGTTATCAGGAACATGCTCCAGCACAGAGGGAAGATTAGAGGTTACCATAACTTTCAACATATCTCAGACTATATTTGCTACAAATCAGATGGTAAAACTTTCAAAATAAATAAGTAAAGACAAATAGTCCTCTCCCACGTAAACTATCACATAAATTCACAATAAAATATTAAAAAAAAAAAGACAAATAGTCCTTCCTTGAGAATAAAAAGAATCACTATTAAAACAAAAGCTACACAGAATGGGTAATCAGCTTAAATTACAAATAATTTTTTTAAATTTGGAGTAGGTACTCTTCAGAAAACTTAAGTATTATTAATACCCTGGTTTAAAGAAGTAAGGGAAAAGATCTTCAGATAATGGGAGAAACTTCACCTTCTGAATTTAAAATGGTTACACATGGAAAATGTGATTTTTTTATGTTATTAAAGAAATTTAAATTACAAATCTAACCTGGTGTTTCATAAATATCTCAATTACTACACATTATCTAGAATATTCTTGTTTTACACTTTTTAATAAACCTCTCCTGAAAAGGTTGATGTAAGATTTTAAAAGGATACCCAGCCTCACAAGAAACATTCCCTCAAGAAATTGGTGCTGGATTAGCTCATAATTATTTACTAAAATGATAACTCCTACAACTTTAACACAGATCTTCCCAATCCATCAAAAATTAAACTCATAGTTTAAATCATGGTTGATGGTGTAAGGTAAGGGACTAATCATAATAGCATGTCACCATTCATCAGACTTGGCCTGGATGAGCATATTTATATGAAAATGGGAAATGATCGAGCTTGAAGCAAGATTACATGCTCATGATCAACATTTAAATATGTATGATATTGGCAAATGCGGAAGAAACTGTGACTACTATAGAAATTGATGAAGAAACACAGGAAGAGATACATAAATCAATGAAAAGGAATATTCCAATGCTCTGTGGTCAGGGAAATGGTGGTGTATTAGTTGCCCCTCCACTGAGGATTGATTGAAAAAAAGACTGTGTTCTGTGTGAACAAAGAAGAGATTTTACAACTGCTTCTTTAATGTAGAATATATTCAAAAGAGACACATTTGTAAATTTTGATAGAGATGACCACGGATTCTTTGATTCCCAAAATGGGTTGATTAATAGATAACTTGCAAGCTCTTAAACTAAAGGACACTATTATTTTTCTCTAGCTCTTCAATAAATGTAATCACAAAAATGCAAAACTTCTTTTGCGGTTTTTTCTTTAAAGTAAATTGGATAGTGTTCCTTTTTTGTTGGTTTGTTTAAAAAATAAACAAAACGTTAAGCCCATAAAGAATGAGCTGGTGAAAAAAAGCTGAGGTAACAGAAAAGGAAGGATCTGTAAAAACAATTGGGAGGTAACCATTTATTTGTCAGCAGTAAAAAGGAAGTGAGATTCTTAAGCTCTTGTGGCATGGGACTTCATCCATTGATGTTGCCTTCTTGTTAACTCTATGTTAGTAACACCAATAAAAGTGCTCAGCAGGCCATACTTCTCCCCAGGGGCGTAGGGGAGTTTGTGGAAAGTGAATCAGTGAATCACCTCCTCAACTGCAGAAGTCCTGGCAAGCAGTCAGCAGTCTGAGCTTCCTGGCCCCTCCTGAGGACACGATGGGAAGTGTTCCCTTCACACTTACAAATCAGCTTACACCAGCTAGGCTGGAATCACTGAATTACTACTCCCCATGCCTACACCCCAAACTACTGTAAGGAACCTTTCCCCAGGTACTAAGCAATAGCCTCAATTCTCCCAATCATGCCTTGTCTAAAACCCTGTCAATAAGCTGGTGAACCAGAATGACCTTTAGATCCCTGTGTCCCTTAGAAGAATATTCCCATTAGTATTCTTCTGTTTGAGCCAAATGCAAGTATCTTCCTTAAAATCAGAGAAATAGCGCATATATCATAAAGAATATGAGGATACTATTGCCAGGTCCTGCACATGAAGGTAATAGCAAATATATAGCAAACTCGGGTTTCCCAAGAAACTGCACAAGAGTTAAAAATAAGCACAATGTTTTGTTTTGTTTTTTAAGTCTGTCATTTCATGACTTCCAAACTACATTTGCATACATACACATGCTTGTATAAACACACACACACCAATACAACCACAGCAAATATGCTCCATTATTTAACTAGCCCTTCTCTAAAGAAATGCCAGAGACAGAAAGTAAAAACTGTGCTGCCCAGACTAATTAAGAACTAAGAATTCACTGAAGAATGGCTGGATGGGTGAACAGGAAGACAGAGAGAGAGAAAAAAAAAGAAATAAATACACTGGAGGAGAAGCAAAAACATGACACAGATAAGAACCTTGACTCTAAGTCAACCTGTGATTCGAAGTCCTAAAGGTGACATGTGAGTATTTAATACAAGAGATCCATCATAGGGTACACATGGTTGAAGCATAATCACACTACACATACTAGCAAAAGCAAAAATATTTATGCAATTGTTGTTGTTAGGTGCCGTCAAGTTGGTTCCAACCCTATAGAGGAGCACCTGGTGGGTTTGAATCACCAACCTTGTGCTTCACAGTCCTGTGCGACACACCAGGAGCCCATTTATGTAGTTGTTGTTGTTGTTGTTAAGTGCCGTCGAGTCGGTTCCGACCCATAGCGACCCTGTACAGGGTTTCCGAGGGTGTAAATCTTTACGGGAGTAGAAAGCCTCATCTTTCTCCCGCGGAGCAGCTGGTAGTTTCGAACCGCTGACCTTAAGGTTTGCAGCCCGATTCGTAACCACTACGCTACCAGATACTTCACAGTTTATAATAATTTTCCCCTAGAAAGATGTTATATGAATAAACTTAGTGGCAAAGGCATCTTACCTTCCACAGAAGGTGCCTGGTCCTGAGCTGAATACAGCATATCCTTGAAAGCCTATTAGAAAGAAAAAATGAAATATGTGAAATCATGAGTAATCTTCATATTGAAGGCATCTGAAGCTACCAATTACTTCTATTACAATATCCAAAAAATTACTACATATGGTTCCCTCAACTGAGAATTTAGTGAAATATTTAAAACATCTTTAGTAGGCTAAAGTCCAAATACTATACTTTCATATGCATCCATTGTTGTCAAATCCTTAAAATTAGAGGAAAAGTATACATATCGTAAGTAATTTAATTTGTATAATCTGATAAAAATTAAATGGAATTTGAGTAAGAATGAAAAAACACCTAAGAGACTATAAAGTCTCTTGACTAAGAATAAACAGTGATAAAATTCAAGAATAAGAAGGAAAAAAAGCCCTAGAGGAATACACTGAAACACTTCATAAGTAAATAATAAAGAACTGGACAAGACTACTTTTATATGAAGCTCTGAAAAGTCCTCAATAAGAGTTCAAGGGTCTAAAGACAGCATAGTTTTTATCATGGGGTTCCCCAAACACATACCCCACAGATTAGTCAAAAGACATATTTAGATTATTTGGATAACTGAATTTGGCTTCAGTAACTGGTTGGGACACAAGAATGAGAAGCATTTCTCCACATCTATCAAAATGGTAGACTCAGTGGAACAGATCCCTCAGCTGAAGCCTAATCATAATCTTAGGTGACTTTATTCAACCCCATAGTTTCATAGCTTCAAACATCAATTTAACACTGGTGATCTGGAAACTAAACTGGCCTAGATCAGGGTTCCTCAACTTTCATATAAATTGACACTTTGAGCTTGATAAATCTTTGTTATGGGGTCTGTTCTGTGCATTATTAAGATGTTTAGTAGTATCCCTGAGGTCTAGCAAACCACCAGATAGCAGAAGCACTCACAAACACACACTAAGTTGGACAATTATAAACTTTCCCAGATACTGCCAAGTGCCCTCTGGGGTGCATCCCTCCTAAGAACTATTGGCCTAGAGTCATTCAAACATTTAAATACAGAAATAAATTTTCAGAATAACCCAATATTTTTTTAAAAAAGAGTATTCAAGTTTAGTCAGTTATATTTTAACAAAGTTACTAGGTGCTTTGGACTAGTGACCAAACTATCAGTTCCACAACTAACAAAGACTGACCATATAAAAGTAAGGTGATTGCCAATGAAATACGCAAAACTAAAAATCAATGCATTAATGAATATTTATATTTTAATGCCCTCTTAAAAAAAACTATGTGTACCACATTTTAATACAGACATTCTTAAATCTAAAAATGTGATAGGAGTGTAATTCATTATTTATATATAGAATTTGAGACAATACAGTAATGTAATATTTTTGGAAAAGCTTAATTAGTTGGTCACAGTTGTTCTAAGATTACATGTGAAGCTCTGCCTCATGTTTACTGAGTATCACTGCTTAAACTTATTTGTATGCATAAAGTCTTAGAAGAACAGAACAAAAGTATAGAAGCCATTCAAAGAAAAATGTATATACACTCAAATTTTTCTGTACATATCAGGTATCTGAGGAACCACTAACTTCCAGACTTAAAAAAAAGTAGTCCAGGAGATCTCAAACATGTGGATCTCAGTTTGAGCCTTCACTTCACTTCACAGACTGGAGTTTTATAATAAATTCTTATACAAGTATGTTGTTAAATGCACTGAGTGAGTTCCAACTCACAGCAACCCTGTACAGGGTTTATAAGAAGCAGCTTGTGACCATAGACCTTGTAGTTAGCAGCCCAGAGTTTATACAACAGTGCCACAATACAGAGGTGGTTATATTAAGCATCTCTGATACAATACTTAAAAGAGGATACATGGATGCAAGATTGCTCAAGGCACAGTAAATGTCTAAAAGGAAAAAAACAATAGTATAAAACATAAGGAAGATACCAATTATGCCAAGTGGGTGCTAGTAAAATACTCAAATCTCTGAATAAAGTTCTGCTTCGGGGGCATGTACTATTTATTGTTGGTGGCAGTTGTTATAGACTCCATTCCAACTCATGGTGACCCTACGTATGTGAGATAACTGTGCTCCACAGGGTTTGTGCGTACAGTGCAGCCACAACCACACCTTCTGCTGTTCCACCCACTAGGCAAGAGCTAATATCAGCTCCTATAATACCTGATCAATGACAGACAGCAACCAACACCAGCCAAACCTACCCAAAACTTAGGTGCATAAACAAAACAAGGTGTACATATTTCCATTCTTTAACTACATACACAGAAGACAGTTGGTAAGAGCCTAAGAATACATCAGGACATAATCATTAACTCAATACAAATATGACAACCCCACAATGCTCCAGTGACAAAAAGTTTAGCTCACACAAAGAAACAAGAGAGAATGTTCAGACAAATGACCAATATGCAGAGCCAGAATGTGTTTCTGAGGAAGAAAAGGTAATGGAATTAACTGAAAAATAATTCAAAAGATTGATACTTAGGTACCTTACAAGGACTGACAGAAATATTGAGGAAAACAAGGAGAATACAGAAAAAACTTCAGAAGAATTCAGGAAAACAATATAAGAACAGACAAAATAAATGCAAATCTTGAAACAATACAAGCCCTCCAGTTAGAAATCCAGAGATTAATACTAACATTTTAAACAAGGAAAGGGCAAAGGAGTAGATCTGAAGTAATGGAAGCATGAATTAGTGAGCTTGAAGACACATCTCTCAATACTAGTATGCTAGAACAACAACCAGGAAAAGGATAAAAAAAAATACAAAGAAGAGTCTAGGAGTTATGTGAGACACCATGAAGAACAACAGCTTACAGGTGATCAGAATTCCAGAACAGGAAGACACAATAAAATGCAAAGAGAAAATTATCAAAAAGTTGTTGGAAGTAAACTTCCCCTAAAACTATGAACGAGAAGATAAGCATTCAAGAAGCAGATCAAACCCCAAACAGGACAGATCACAAAAGAAAATCACCAATATATATCATAAGCAAACTTTCCAAAACCAAAGACAAGGAAAGAATCCTGAGAGCAGCTCAGAAAAAAACAAAGTTACCTACAAATGAAAACCAATAAAACTAAGCTCTGATTTCTCAGCAGAAACTATGTAGGCAAGAAGGCAATAAGATGGCATATATAAAACTCCGAAAGAAAAAAATTGTCAATCAAGAATCATGTATCCAGCAAAACTGTCCCTCAAATATGATGGCAAAATTAGAGCATTTCCTGATAAGCAGACATTAAAACAATTTGTAATATCAAGACCAACTTTACAGAAAATGCTAAAGGGTGTTCTTTGGACTGAGAATAAACAACAGTGAAGAACCTGAGATTACCATACATGACATTACCCATAACTCAATCCAGATACAAAGGTATTTAAAGCAAAAAAAAAACCCTACAAGACTAAAAATGGGAACCAGAGATATCAATTAATAAAGATGCCAACTACAAATGAAAAAGAGGGAACACTGTAGATACAGAACTTCCAAACGGCTAGGAAGTCAAGTCGATTTCAAGATAAAACAAACTGTTTTAAATAGGGGGAAAAATAATCAATTACAGGGTAACCTCTAAGAAAATTAATACACCTACATATCAAAATAAATAAGAAAGAAACCCAGAAAGATTTATTAGACATTAACACAACAGAAATGGAGAAAATGAAAAAGAAAACTCACAAACAAAATGAACTTAGCACAGAAAATTATGTGCAACAACGAAACCAGTTGCACCACAAGAAAACACACAACAAAATGACAGCAATCAATTCACAGCTAACAAGAATTATATTGAATGTAAACAGATTAAAAGTACCAGATGAGAAAGGGAGAATAAGCAAGCAAGAGAGCGAGAGCGAGAGAGAGCAGAACAAAATGTGAAAACAGAATCCTTCAATATGCTATCTACAAGAGATGCATCAAAATTATAGAGACAGTCTAAATGTCCATCAACAGAAAAATGGTTAAACTCTGGTACATATACATAAGGGATTACTATGCAACATTGAAAATAATGAATCTATAAAACACCTCACAACATGGTTGAACCAGGAAGATATTATGCTAAGTTAAATTAATCAAAAAAGAACAAATATTATACAAGATCAATGTTGTAAAAAGTTAACAAAAGGTTTTCTTAACAAAAGAAACAATCAGTGATAGTTGTGGGAGGGAAGGAAAATTATTCATGGATGGGTGGTAGACATGTTAACAGGTTACAGGATACGCAATATACAACAAGAAAGAGGTTAGCAGGGGAAAGATAAAGGTAGTGGGAGACACACGAAGGATTGCAATAGCTAAAGTGAATGGTGGTGGTGGTGTGCTGTGGAGTCAGTTCTGACTCACAGTAATCCTGCATAGGGTTTCCAAGGCTGTACATCTTTACAGGAACAGAAACCTCATCTTTCTCCTGTGGACTACATGGTGGTTTTGAACTGCTGACCTTCAGCTTAGCAGCCCAATTCTTAGCAACTACACTACCAGAGCTCCTTAGCTCAACCGAGAAAGTGAGTAGAGGTATATAATATTACCTGTTGCTACATGGAAGAGACTGCAATTATTGTAATGAAACAAAGTATACGATCGGCTTTGCAAACCTTCACTCAATACACAATATAATTCTTTTTATGTGAATTAAAATTATATAAAGAGAAAAATTTATATTCTTCATTCTGATTATAAAATGGAAACATAATTTCATTACATCAAATCAAGTCAATGAAATTACGGGCAACTCGTTTTGTTTCTTAATGCTTCAGTTTTCCTCTGAATAAAAGAGCCCTATAGTGTGGCACTGTAAGATCAGCACTGAACTGCAAACCATAAGGTTGGCGGTTCAAAATCACCAGCTATTCCAAAGGAGAAAGATGAGGCTCCTCGGAAACTCTATTGTCACTATGAGCCTGAACGGATTCAATGGCACTTAACAACAACAACATTTCTTATAGTAATAGTTTTAAAGAATTCCACATACACCATTTTAGCTTATGACTAAAGAATAGTA